AATTTTTCTTTTGAATTTCATAAAATATACACTCTCTTGAATCATAGAGACTTTTGAAAAAATAACTTCTAGAGAAAAAGATTAGCATGTCACTATTCAAGGTTTCAGTGGGCGCCTAATAACCAATGTTGCTCAATTTCATAGTTGACTAAAAGCTATTGATGTTCTACTCCCAATGTCAAACATTACACCCATTTGATATGTGGAAGAAAAGAGTGTCTTGAGACAAGCCATACTTGGAAAAGAAGAGAGTCATGAGTTTAGTAATAAGATGATAGTGCTTTAGCAAGAAGAAATAATAATAAGACAAGTCACGTCCCAAATTCGGATGCCCCATCAACGTAGGGCATGATGAAATAAAATAAACTTGTTTTGTATTCTCAAAGAGAAACTTACAAGAAAAAGAAATAGAAAATGTAAATTTTATTAATATTGAAAAGTTCACTAATACAACTAGACTAAAAATAAAAAAACAAACCAAATCAAAACAAAAATAATAACATGGAATAAGTATCTAGACCCAAAAGGAAAATAACTAAAACAAACACTGAGAAAAATATACCAAAATGGGGAAAATAAAATTGAAAAGCTTGCTTCAGTGGAGATGGTGCTATTGATAGTTAAATAAAACCTCACCATAAAAACTTAATTGTTAACGTAATGCAAAAGAGTAGGATAACTTGTAGAGTTGCACTTCCGCATTTAGTTGAGTCCATATTGAAATGGTTGAGAGATGCACCAACATAACCATTATAAGGTACTTTTATCAGTTACCTAGCAAAGTAACCTCACTGAAAATGTTATTGTAGGTCTCAACGTATCTTGTTTAGATATGGTAAGCAAGAAGCTTTGATCAATACAACATGTATTTTGACAAGGTGATTGACCGCTATTTTCTCTATGGTATACCTAGTGATTTGAGAGTTCAAATATTATAATTTTAAAGTATATTTTATAAAATTTAATTACTTACTTTTCCACTCCCTATCACCATTCACCAAGTATTAATGCAGGTGCACACATCGTTCAAGTAATATAGAACTTTCTTTTATCCCGAGTATCGATCCCACAAGGAACCGCGAAAGAAATCACTCCAGGTGAAGTTCTAGCTATAAAGTCATAGTTTGGAGTGTCGATAAAAATGGTTTTACTATCACTACTCCTAAGTTACAATTTTAATCCTATGTTAAAACTTATCTAGGCAATCAATAAGGTAAGGTGAAATTCAAGATTGATAAAAAGTAATTTTCTCTTGTGAATAATTAAGCACGTTGTAGGCTTGAAATTTAAGAGTGTAAATAAAGTAGTGACAAAAGGAGCATACGTTTTTCTATCCTCTCCCGAGTTATATATACGATTAGTTCACTAATTAGTTATTTACTTTTGACAATGATGTCAGTTGGTGCCACATATAGGCTTCCCATCACTGTATGCCCCGCCTGTCACCAACAAAGCTCTAATTTGAACCTCCCAGAATACTTATCTCATTAACTTTGCACAGCTACCTAACTACTACGTTTCATAGTTAAATGATAATGTGAACATTCTCATGTTGATTCGCTACCGCTCACAGTCAAGTCAAGTGGGTCACAACAAGTTTTAACAAATCTTATGAACAGTAAGATATGTAAATTAAGTTTAGGAGAATATTCATCACATATAAAATTAAGATTTATTCTTAAACTTCAACACCCTATACTTACTACCAAATCATCACAAAAGAAAAGCACAAGGTTTCTACTTACAACGTATAATAGATTAAATAGAAGATTTCATAAAACAAAGCAATTTAAACTAAATATGTGATTTAAATGATCACAGGACAATCAAACAAACTTTACTTAGCAAAACAAGTTCACCAAATACGTGTTTACTAGATTACAATGCAATTAAAACATACAATACTTAGCTTTAATTTTTTTGAGATCCTTCCACTAAAGTTATATATTGCTCCTTGCACTTGTTGATACAATCCCTTACAAATGCTCTAAAATTTCCTTACAAATCTCTCTATATTAGTAAAATCATATTCCTAATATGGATTTCCTAAAGTCCTTGGGGAGTTCCAGACCTTGGAACTTCGTCCCCAAGTCCCCAAATGGCAGAAAAACCCTCTTTCCATCACCCCGAACCACTAAATAACTCTCAGAAAAACTGCTCCGGACAGTTATGGCGCCTAAACGTTGCCCTCTCTATCTCCCTAGTGTGGTTTTGGCACCTAGGCGCCAGGAAATGACTCCTAGGAACTTTCTTATTTTCGTCCCCTCATTTTGTGTTGAACTAGCTCAAGCTGAATCCAGCTCTGGAGACATTTGGACATAAATTTGATGTATTATAGATGTTTATAATAAAAGTAATAAATCAATAAATAAATTAAAATAATAAATAATATATATGACTAGGAATAAATTATATATGGCATCAATTTGAAGATTAAGAAAACCTTTTATACTATAAAGAAATTTTAAGATGAAAAAAGGAAAAAATGGATTTCGATATTATGGCCTAATTTTAATCAAATTGAATCATGGCAATTTTTATAAAGATGTCTCAAGCCCGGATGTTGGAGGCTTGCGTTAGGTAGTCGATAACCAGTGTAAAACTTGTCGAAACAAAATCATAACATGAATCCTTTTCAACATTGTGTAAGTGCTAAGCATATCTGAAAGTGACATATTGTATGACTTGGATACAGTGAAAAAGTGTGCAAGGACCACTACACCAGTGTCCGTGTGTAGTGTCAAATAAGCATGAGTTCCCACATTACGGACGGATGAGGGTAAAGAAGTTAGTCCATGAAATTAATGAAACTAATATTACGATAGGAACTTGGAATATAGGTACTCTCCATAGTAAATTAATAGATTTAGTTGATATTATGATGCATATAAATATTAATATCTTATGTATTCAAGAAACTAAATGAGTTGGAGAAAATGCTAAAGAGATTAATTACTTAGGTTTTAAACTTTGGACTTCTGGGAAGAGTCACACTAGAAATGGTGTAAGTGTAATTATATATAAGAATTTGAATATAAGAATTTGAAAGATAATGTTGAATTTGAAAGATAATGTTGTAACAATTAATAGAGTTGGAGAAAGAATTATAATCCTTAAGATTATTATTGATACTAAGATTTTTAATATTATAATTTCTTATGCTCCTCAAGTAGGTTTAGATATAGGGTCTAAAGATAAATTCTAGAATGACTTGGAAGATTTAATACAAATGATAACCCTTGAAGAAACAATTTTTATTGGAGGAGATTTAAATGAGCATGTCGGTACAGTGGTAGAAGATTTCAGAAATATTCATGGTGGCTACATTTCAGAAATATTCATGGTGGGTGACTACGGCTTTGGAGTGAATAATGAAGAAGAGGCAAAGCCATTTGATTTTGTTTTATCGTATGATTTTGTTATTACTAATATTTTATTCAAGAAAAGAGATGAACATCTTATTACTTATAAAAATTGATCTAATAAAACACAAATTGATTAATTACTTATGAGAAGAAGAGATCATCAAGATTGTGAAGATTGTAAGGTCATTCCAAGTGAATATTTAAGTACCCAACATTGATTATTAGTTCTAGATTTTAATATGAAAAGTTGTAAAATAAAGAATATTAGGACTCATCATCGTAGAATTAGATAGGGGAACCTAAAAGACAAATAAAACTATTTTTATGAGAAAAATTCAAGATTTCAAAATTTGAGATGTTCATGAAGAAGCAAATACTATGTGAGATAAAGTAACAAATACTATTAAACAAGTAGCAAAATATGTACTTGGAGAATCAAAAGAAAAAGTTTTTATAAATAATAATAGTTGGTGGTGGAATAATAATGTGAAAGAAAAGATAAAATATTAGAAGATATGTTATAAAAATTGGTTTAAATGTAAAAGCTTAGAGAACTGGGAAAAATATCAAACGGCCCATAGGGAGTCTAAAAGAAAAATTTGTGATGCTAAAAATTCCACCTTTAGTGATCTTTATAACAAATTAGATACTAAGGAGGGTGAAAAATATATGCATGAACTAGCCAAACAAAGAGAAAGGAAAAGTAAAGATTTAACTCAAGTAAAGTGTATTAAAGATTAAAATAAAAAAAAAAATGTTTTTCTTAGAAAAAGATTCAACATAAGTGGGTAAGTTATTTTGATAAACTTTTTAATGAAATTTCTGAAAATACGATGGACCTTAGTGATCTTAATATCCTTAATAATAATAAAACGTTTCATTTTTACTGTCGCATTAGTAAAAAAGAAGTTGAGGAGGCTTTAAAGAAAACTAAGGGTGGAAAGTCTGTAAAACCTGATGATATCCCAATTGAAGTCTGAAAATTTTTAAGAGATTTGGAAGTTTCTTGGTTTACTAAGCTCTTTAATATTATTTTAAAAACTAAAAAGATGCCTAAGCGGTAGAGGAAGAGTATTTTGGTCCTCATTTTTAAGAATGAAGGGGATGCACAAGAGCGTGCAAATTATAGAGGAATTAAGTTGATGCGCCATACTTTAAAATTATGGTAAAGGGTAATTAAAGATAGGTTAAGACGTATTACAAAGATTTCTCATAATTAATTTGGATTTATGTCGGGTAGGTCTACTATGGAAGCTATAAATTTATTGAGAGGTTTGATGGAGAAGTTCAGAGATAATAAGGAGGATCTACATTTGATTTTTATTGATTTAGAAAAAGCTTACAATAAGGTTCCACGACATAACCTTTGGTGGGTTCTTGAGAAGAAAGGTGTTGATATGCCTTATATCCAAGTCATTAAAGATATGAATACTAGAGTTGTTACTTGACCAATTATTTTTCTATTTCTGTTGGATTACATCATGGAATATAATAAATTTAAAATACAATACAAATTTTCATAAATATAATTTTGACAGTATTTACACATTAGTGGAATATAATAAATATAAATTTAAACATTAGATATGCAAATAAAAATTGTGTGTGAGATCCATGTAATTTGTAAATCCCCCCATTAAATAATTTTCAAAATCGTTCTTTCCAAAGAATCAAATGGTGTCCATCGACTCACTAGCCATGGAAAAAGATGGGACAATGGCCAAAGGGCAACAACATAGTGACGAATATCAGCCATAATAAAAAAAACACCCTGCCAAATTTCCAAAATCGAAGTGGTGAAAAGGAACGCAGCGGAAACAAAGCATTTGCTTTGTCCACACACTCTTCGATCCAATGCTCCACTACAATCTCACCTTTTACCCCTTCCCTCTGCCATCCCCTCCTCCATCTTCCTCCTCCATGTTTCCGCCGGCCAGCCTTCTTCCTTCTCAGGTAAACACTTAACAAAAAACTGCTAAAAATTCCTTTTTACGGTGGAAAACAGGGGAAAGTTGGAGTATTTTCCCCATTTCGATTCACAGCTAGTTGAAAACATTCCGTCTTCTTGCTACAGGAGGAATTAATGGTCGACGAACTCCTTGACCTCAGGGGGATGCCTGAACAAGAAAACAAGGTGGAGGAAAAAGAAGAAGATACAAAAAAAGCGTCTTTTATCCCATTGGAGAAGAACGAATCTGTTCTTCTCTCCGAAATCAGGCTACCTGTGAGTTGTGTCACTGCTTTCTGATACTAAATGAGCGATTTTTCTTTTTTCTTTTCCCCTCCGCTAACTATTCTATGCAGGAAGAGAACGAAGCAACAAACCTCGAGTGGCTCTCCCGTTTCGTCCACGACTGCAACTCGCCGGAATCACCAGCTTCGCCGCCAGTAACGGCTGGGCCCGGCGCCAGCACTACAGT